CCCCAAAACCCCAAAACCCCAAAACCCCAAAACCCCAAAACCCCGGGAAGAGTCTGTGTAATTGAATTACGAAGAAACTTTGATAAATAAGTATTCGTCATAATTTAACTTCTTCTTCATCTATATTTGTGAGAAGGAAACATTACAATGTTGTCAACGCTAAATTTTACAACCTTGTTGTCGATAGCACAAATTATAAAGCTCTCATCCTCGTCTAGAGTTGTGATAGGTGTTACTTACTGACATATACAAACTTTGGCTTGCTGAACTCTTGTACTCTATCGACGAGTTTATTCCTATGATAATGGAGAAAATTTACTTTGTAACAAGAACCTCATGGGTGTTACCTAGTTCAGATTTTCTCTTACTCTGCCAATCAAGTCTCAGATCACTGTCTGTGGCTTTGAAGAAAACCTTCTCTTTTTGTTCAGATAATTTATCTCAGAATATTTCGCATGGAGGGAGTTTAAATATCTTGTTTTTATCTTCATCAAGACCAATAAACTCCGAAGTTAGTGCATAATGCATTTTAGGGATGAAAGTGTTCAAATCCCATTTCACTATTTCGATTTTATCAATATTATTAGGTCTAGAGTCTTCCTTCTCTTCCTCTTCCTTGATGGCATCTTCTTCTTTCTCCTCTTCATTCATTTCTTTGTTCTTTCTAGAACGGTTGATGATTACATTTATGGTTGCTTCAGGACTTTCTTGTGAGGTATTATCCTGAGTTTGCTTAGCATTTCTCTCTTTCTTCAGAGATCTTGAAGTATTGGTATCATCCCCATCTTCCTTTGAAACCTAAGGTTGCATAAGTCAGAGTTCTGAGAGAAGTTTAGTGGCTTACTTCATCTAATCTCTTAGGCAAGGTATTTGCTGTTTTGATTACTCTTTGTCTCTTAATCGCATATATATGCAGAATTTCATATTTGAAATCTCTCTCTTTTATCTTCTTTGCTACAGAATTAGTCAGGAAATACTTAAAAAGTTGTATATGTAAAGCACGAAAGGTTTATCTTTCACTGTGAAAGCCATATCATGTTCATGGTTGATCAACACAGCTTCTTTGATGAATTCTCCTGGAGGGATGAGCTCTTCTGTGTGTAGAGTAAATTCAACTGTCTTGTCAGCAAAAGAGTGTTTTGCCATTTTGAACTTCATCGCATGGTATCCATTTCCTCTTATTGCAACTAATGTTAGAAGTGGAATTACCTTGTCTCAACTGTTTCTCGATTATGGAAGGCTTATCTTCATCTGGAAACTCACTTTGATAATCATATTCGCTATTAGACTCAGCAAAAGCGGTGATAGGACTCTCAAGGAAGAAATCGCTGTGCATTCCTTCTGGTTGAAGATGGGAAAGGTCAATAGGAACCTCCTGGTATGCTTTTTCAAATATTTTCATTTTCTGTACAAAATCTTTATCAGAAATATAGCAAGGTAAAATGAAAGCGTGATTGGTATGCGCATGCTTCTCATCGTACCATCTATTTTTATTTAAAACCTCTTACGTGATAATACTATAAGATAATTCATTTGCTTACTTTTCTTCAGTGTCAAAGGAGCAGTTCTTATTCAAAGGAAGCTTGGTCTCGACAATTAGGATACTTTCAGCTTGGACACGGAATATCCATCACCTCTCATTAGAATCAAAGATTGCTTCAAGAGAACAGTAATCCTTAACATTGCCGTCTTTATCAATGCCAATGTTTGGGGCTTCTTCCAAGGTTTCTATCCTTCTTCCTTCGTAGTATCTTATATAGATGCCTACATCAAGCTAAGCTGGAAGATTTACCTTGATCAATCTTAAAATATTTGGCTTCAGACATATTTTATATCAATTTAATTGTATTTTGAGGGGTTTTGGGGTTTTGGGGTTTTGGGGTTTTGGGGTTTTGGGGTTTTGGG